TGTCGCAAAAGCCTCTTTATGCGCTAGTGGCGATGACGTTGTCCCTCCTAGCCTTCGCTCTTTGTGTCAGTGAGCTGCTCTACAATGGACTAAAAGATGACATCACCTTCCGGCGTCCACCGGGCAAGATACCGTGGTTTTATTATCCACCTCGCTCTGAGAATTCCGAGCGTTTTGGTACCTTTGCAGATCTCATTGGCTTAGTTAGTGCCATATCCCAATGCATTGTTACAGCAATCAATTATGATTCTGCGCGCAGGGCTGCTAATAGTCCTATCAAATTCTCATTGTTGCCTATCATCTTTGCCTTTGGCCTTTTATGTTCAAAAATTGTAGAGACCGCAGAGAAAAGGGCTTCAGGCAGAAAAGGGCTTCAGACAGAAAAGAGCGTTGAGGACCGTGTCTGATCAGATTACGGTGTTGCATTGTTACTGCAAATGGATATGGTTCTTCTGTTCTTCCTGCTGTGTTGTGTGTTAGGAATGCTGTTATACAAAATCTATAATATTTTGTTATTGTTCATTTCATTTTTTTTCTCATAAATAATAACTTTCCCATTGGGGCGTGCACAGAACAGAACCACCACCATGTTCTTCGAATTCTGATCAGCTTTTCAATTTTTGTGAAGTTGTTAGAAGGCAGAGTATTCTCTTATTGCCTACAATTACTGGTATGGCGTTATTAGTTTTCATTTATCCTCTCATTTTACCCTCTCCTTTCCAAACTAACTATTGTTTTTCAAGTTGATTTTGTCACAAATTTAATATTGTTTTTCAAAATAAATAAATGTTTTTTTTTTAAATCTTGCTTTTGTCCCTTATTTTTGTTAAAAGTAATATAAATAAATATATAAATTATTCTTAATTTTTTAACTCGGAGAAATAGTAAAGAAACTATAATTATTTTAGAATAGATTAAGTAATTTTTTTTGTACTCAAAAATCTTTCAAGGTACGTTTTTTTAATACATCTTTTTAAGATAAGTTTAGTTTGAAAAAAATAAAAAGAGGAGACTCTTCCATCTCATTCAGATAAATGAAAAAAAGTAAAAAATAAAATAAAGGACTTGTCCCTGTCGCTTCTCCATCGATTTTATTAGTAATTAAATAGATAAATATCTCCA